CCCCCCAGAGTCCAAATAATGCCTGGCGTCCCGTCCGGACGGGGCTGCGAAGCCTGCAGGAAACAGAAGAAAAAGGTATACGCTTCACCCGTCTGCGGCAGTACCCGTCGTCCGTCCGTCTTGGGTGATGAATGCAAAGCCTCGATTAACGTCTGGACCCCTTCCCCGGTGGTGATAAAAGTGTGACTTGGCCGACCCCGCCTGCTCACGATGCGCCAGACTGGGCATCCCGTGTCATGGCGCAGGCCAGCAACGCTTCAAGTTTGTCAACCGGACATTGCCATCTTCCTCCTCGACACTGGCCTCCTCCTCCTCTCCAGCCGTCAGATTCGACCTCACCTCCGACCCCGAGGTCGAGGCCAAGTCTGCTGCCACCGCCGTCGTCAGGGCACAGCGACGCCAGCCACCGGCCCCGAACCCCCTCAGCATCGTTCCCGGCGACGAGTCCTTCAGGATAGCCAGCAGGCTCGTATCGCGGCTGACCGTCGGCGACGCCCGCTACGACGGTGCCTGCTTCGGCCCTTTCCTCCGCTTCCTCCCGCAGCGCATAGGCGCCAACCGCGCGCTCGACGCCGCCGTCGACGCCTTCTGCGCCGCCCTGTCCACCATCCACGCCGACACCGCGTCGCTGCAGGCCGTGGCGAAGCACGGTCGGGCGCTGGCCACGCTTCGCGCCTGCCTCGGCGATCCCGCTTACGGCCGAGCTTCCGAGACCGTGTGCGCCATATACCTTGTCATGATCACAGAGGTAAGACCGTCCAGCAACCGCCAATGTTGCAGCCGTGCCCGATCGGGATAATATGAGGCTGAAGATGTGATACTCAGGGTTTGATCGGCGCCGAGACTGGCCGTCACGGCGAGGGCATGTGCTACATCCTTCAGGCGCAGGTGCAGCGTCAGTGGACGTCGCAGTTTGAGCTGGAAATGTTTTCAGTCATGTTCTTTTCCGTGGTATGTCTGTGCGTCTCTCTGGGCTTCTTGTCCGTTTCATAGGATATGGTGTGTAATATGCAAAAGGGGATGTGTGTGTGTGTGTGTGTGTATGAGAGAGAGAGAGAGAGAGAGAGAGAGAGAGAGGATAAAAGACTGACACCCTCAGCTCATGGAAAGCATCGGCAACAAACGCATCAAGACGAACCCCTGGCTGCCCATCCTCCTCGACCGCCTCGAGCCGATGGAGCTCATCAAGAAGCTCGAAGCCAAGAAGGAAGCCGCCGCAGCAGCAGGCGTATACCCATCTTTGTTCCTTCGCTCGCTGGCCCGCATGACCGATCTGATCATCAACCCAGCAGGGCGACAATCCGAGATAGAGACAATGTACAAGTCCTTTCTCGACGATCTTAGCAAGATTCGAGGATCCCTCGATTCGATGGATGCAGTTGCCACTTCTGCATCTCTCAATCTCAGTAGCAGCAGCAGCAGCCACAGCGACACGGAAGAAAGAGAAAGAGAAAGAGAAAGATCCGGAAAGCAGCTATCCAGAGCAGAAGCCGTGGCGGCCGTCGCACCCCTAGAGGCAGCGCGCACCGTCCGGCTGACGCAGCTCGCCACCCTGGCGGGCATGTCCCTCATCATGAACCGCATCCTGCAGGCCTTCGAGCCTCTCGACGTGGCCCTGATAGAGGGGGAGACGGACCTGGTGGACGCCATCATCGCCATGGGGGAGGAGGCCATGCCGCGCAGACCGCTGGGGGCCGCGTACGCCCGCCCGGGCCTGTCGGTCGCCTGGGCCGCGGGTGGCGACCCGGGCAGGCGCGCCGTCGTGGCCGGCATGCTGTCCCGCATCAGAGGCACATCGCCCGCCGGTGGAGTGTGGGACGGTATGCGGGAGGCGAGGTGGCTCAGGGCCAAGTTTGCCGAGATTGACGCCGTGATCCTGGGTGAACCGGGGGATGGTGCTGCTCCACAGGCAGACTGTCATGTACAGTGAAGGTGTTTCCGAGATATTCTGGTCCACCCAACCCAGCCACCCCCTTGTTTTCTCTTCTCTATTCCCTTTTCTTTCCTCGGGGGAAGAGAGAGTGTGTTGATTTTGATTTTTGTGCGAGTCATGATTTCATATTATGAGGCGAATAGCAAGTGTCTTTTTTATAGCATTTGGTTCCCAGTCCTTCTTGAGAGTCGATATTCCCAAAAATGCAGTACACAACATTCAAGTGCCAGCATCAATCAAAGTCATGTACCGATTACAAAGTGTGGAAATTTTCAAAACGAGAATAAGCATCCATCATCCCCAGCTGTTGCAGATACATGGCGCGGCGTCTATATACATACACGACATTGACATAGATTAGAGAGCACAGGGTAGAGCAACCAAGAGTTGAACGGACGAGTCGTATGCCTGACAAGAAGGCACACATCGCGATAGAATCAACGGAAAACAGAAAGAGACAAAGAGAGAGAGATGATGAAGAAGAAGAAGAGGAAAGATGATATCACAACTTCCCCTCCCTCTTTCTAGCTTCCTGCGCCGACCTCAACAAAGCATAGAGGCTCTGCAGCCTAGGCATCTCGACGCCCTTTGCCCTGGCGATGCGCACAGGGTTCCCCAGGATGACCTCGAGCTCCATGGGCTTCCTGGCCTCCCAGTCGAGCAGCATGCTCGGTCTGGCCCCCGTGTTCTTCTCCGTGCTCCTCAGGATCTTGTCGGGCGTGGCGACGTTGTCCGGCAGCGGACGCCCGAGCACACGCGGTGCGGCGTCCCAGATCTCCCACATGACGGCCTCGAGGTGCCTCCGGAGCTCCAGGTCGGTGACCATGTCGGCGTTGCCCCGGCCGCCCGACAGCACGGCGGAGGGGTTCATGGCGGCGTTGATGCACAGCTTGTGCCACCGCACCGTCTGCAGGCCGATCTCGTCGTGGGGTTCCACGTCACGGATGCCGCCGAGGTCGGCCCACCACCTCGCCAGGTCGTCCGTGCACTTTGCGCTGCGCGAGCGGATGACCTCGTCGCTCGTGTCCTGCCCCTCCGGCAGCTGCGCCTGGCCCGCAAGGAGCCCGTGCGCGTAGGGCCCGATGCTGATCCTCGTCCAACGGTTCTGGCGCACGACGCCGGGGGACGTCTGCTCCGCGCTGACGATGGTGACGCCGCTCACGATCGACGTGTCGGGGAACCGGCGGCGGAAAGGGTCCTCGACACCCACGCCGTTCTGGATGAGCACGATGCACGTGCGCGGCCCGACGAGGGGGGCGATCATGGCCGAGTCGTCGCTGATGTCCGGGAGGGCCTTGGTCGTGACAAACACGTAGTCCCAGTTCCTCGGGGATTCTCCATCGCCGTCTGCCGCCGCCGCTGCCGCCTCGATGGATGGAAAGGCCACCTCGGGGCGGAATGTGTAGTCCCCAAAGTCGCGCGTCTGGAGTTGCACGCCCGACTGCTCTATGGCCTTGTAGTTGGATCTGGCGACCAGTGACACGTGAAGGCCGTGGGGGGGCTGTGATGGGGGGGGACCGTCAGCAAATCTTGCGCCTCTTTGTTTTTTTTTTCTCTTTCGAAGACTACGAGATAGATGTCTCTCACGTGATGTAGCCGCGAGGCATAGAAGCAGCCTACTGCTCCGGCCCCGACAAAGATGATGTTGACTCGCCTAGTCTACGTCAGTATGCTGCTGCTCCATCCTGCGCATTCTCCACGCAAGTGATTGAGGGAGAAACTCACTCTACTTCAGACATTGTCGGGATGGTATTCAGCTTTGATGCCGGAGAGAATTTAAGCTGATGAGGTTGTCGACGTTCAACGTTGCGGGTACAAACCTTGAAGGTTGGCGTGGTACGTAATACCCTCACGCCATCGCTGTGAGGAGGGGCAGAAAGGCTTCAATGGAGGGAAGGCCCAAGCGAGGTGGCACGTTGGGTCAGACTACAGACATGGCCGCCGAATATATGAACATGGGCTTTACTCCATCACTAGCTCCAAGCTCAGGATGACGAGACATATAAAAAGCTTGGTATTGCACCCGAATTCTTATTGAAGCTATCACGACACGTAGAACAGCCTACACCCTTTCTTGCAGTGTGGTAGCAATGCTGAGGGGCTCTCTCGGGCTCAGCTCCTAGCAATTCAGGGAGACCCACAGCCGTCGGCATGCCTGCCCATAGGGAAAGGCGTATGTAACGTATTTTTAATACGTCGTACGGCTGAGCCTCAACCTTTTTTTTTTTTTTTGGGGGGGGGGGGGAGGTCTCAGTCGATGCAGACAGACGTGATCCTTTCACATTCATATCGAGTCTGCTCAACGTATCAAGACTACAAAGAGCTCATACAAATGTGCCTACAGCTGATTCCCGGCTTGTCCAGGACGTCAAGACGACATCTCAAGGCCGGGTGCCCAGCAACGAGGCTCTTAAAGAAGATCCATCTATGCCAGTGCGAAAACATTCAAGTCAATGGTAGAAGATGACGAGGAATGTCGATAACGTTACGAGCGAACTCGCAACGTGTAGCTGGCAAAAATCACGAGACAGATCACATCCTGCAAAGACAAAGAGACACATCACGCTGAGCAAACCTTTCTGACGCCATGGCACTCATTGTGGCAAAGCCAGTAAGCGCGTACACCTAGACAAGAGGCGTAGCACCCGAACTGTATCAGCGTAGCCAAGAGGTAACATGCAGCAAGCTTGGCCAAGAGAGGCGCGGATTAAGGGAGAAAAGCTTTAGCATCGACGGCCGTGCGAGAACGGGTCATGTTGGTCGTTCCATCTGGACATCTTGTCAGACACTGAGGAAAGACAGAACCCGACCATGGGGAATATGCGAAAAGTCGATTGACGAGACTAATGTGCCATGCAACCCAAGCTGCATAGCATGACGGCCGTACCAGATTGGGCAGCTCCAGAGGAGTCCAGAGGAGGGGGTAGGAGGGGAGGACGGATGATGGAGGGAAGCTAAGAAGGGGAGGTGGTGGAAGAAGACATTCCCCCCCCCCCCTTCAACCTCTTTGGGAGCGGACGAGATCGACGATGGAGGGCTCAGAAGCGGGGTGGGAGACGGAGAGGGGAAGAAAAGATAGGAACGAGTGAGACGGTAAAGAAGTGAAAGAGAGGAGCTTGATGATCAGCCGACACTGCACAGCGGCGCACGCGGCGCATAGGTAGTAATCATGTTCGATCACCGATCTCGGGAACGGTTGGGAAATAATGGAAGAAGAGGGGAAAGCGATGGAGTAGGAGTGAAAGGATGCTTTTTTTGGGTTGGAGTTTTAAAAGGGAAGAAAGGGCAAGGCTGGAAATTGGAGAAGGAAAGGGAAAGAAAAAAAAGAGGGCTGGGGCCTTGGTGTGGGAACTTTGCAGATGGAGCCTTTGTAGGCAGGTGCCGCTGGATAAAAGGAAAAAAAGAGGAGCCGTACCTGCCTTTTTTTCCCATCCTTTTGCCCTTGATTTTTCTTTTCTTTTCCTGTGTGAGGCTCGGGACAGAAAGAAAGACACTGATGCTATTGTCATTGCATATAACACCCACGATGATACAGAGTAGCCAAAGAAAGATATCTTCCATCGCTTCCGATGATTCTGGAGATGATTGCCCACGGAGATGATGCCCCCCCCCTAAACTGCGACACACTTTCTGACCGATGGCTTTTTCTCGGCGTGATAACCTGGAAACGACGGGTAATTTTTTTTCTTGCTCCCTTCTGAGCTCCCCACTCTTTGGCCCCTCCTCCTCTCACTCCCTTCATGTGAGGCACGGCTACGTACTCCTTGTAGTAGTCGCGGTTGGACCTGACGAACCCCGATCCATCCGTCGTCCGTCTGCTTCTACTGCTCGTACTCGTACCGTACCGTTCCGTTGCCGGACTCGAGTGCGACGTAGTACTCGTAGATATTAATACGGCAGACTACATGGTAATATGTTGACAGCAGTAAAATGATAATGACTACTACTATATGTACTAGGACTATTACGTGTAATAATACACCTTGGGCGACGTAGTACTTACTGTATTGCACATGTACATTACGGAAAACTCCAATGATGAAATTTTTCTGCAAACTATTCCATTTACGAGTCGCATGCCGCCATGGAAATTTGCATGGGCCTCGTTAGCTCGGACCAAGCGGAGAATCCTGCATCCGACCGTACGAGTACGATAGAGCTGTTTGCTGGCCGCAGCGTAGCATGAGCGCCTAGAGTTTGGATTACGAGCTACACGGCCCGAGACACATGAAACTTCATCACGGGTAATTGTGGCCTATATTGCATGCAAAAAGTACGTGTATGTCAAGGTCCGGTGATGAATCTTCCGTAATATTGGGACTGATAATACCACATACATGTACTCGTACCCTCTCTGTTCGTTCTCTTATGGAGTCTCGTGGAATCTCATGAAGAGGAGGGGGAAGGGGCGGGCCGGGGGGGGGGGAGAGAGAGAGCCAAGGATATGACAGAGACGTGTCTTTGCTGTCCGCGATTGGGAATCTTTCATAGATTTAGATGCAAATGGAACGAGAGAGTGAAGTGTGTGCTTCGTACCCAGCAGTACGATGCGATAGCCTATAGCGTGTGCACGGAGTATCACTCTGTGTTGACGGATGGCACCTCGTCGATCTCGCTCCATGGTCGTAGTCAGAAATGATAGTCCTTCATTCTCCATCGTACCAAATCAATCCACGGCAGACGGGCATCGTGACATGAAAAAGGGCCCCCTCTTTTTTGAAGCTGGAAAACCAGGAGGGCCCCATATCGTTGCATATCACGACGTCACAGTACGACAAAAGCTACCTATACTTTCACTACGTACCTCACGATAGGTAAGATGGTCAAAGCTCCTCCCACCCTCTCTCTCTCTCTGTGTGTGTGTGTGTGTCTCTCTCTCTCTCTCTCTCTCTCCCCTGGGTATGCGCGCGTGTGCTTCCAGAAGCTTTGATGGAAAAGATATGCATGTGAGTTAGCCAGTACAACGTCGTATCACATATCTAAAGAGGGGTTGGAGGGGAGGGACGCTCGGGAGAGGAATCAGACACAGACACACCCCATGGCTACATTACTCGTGAGACCACCATCAGCTTCATCCATCCCATCACCCAAACCGCCATGGAAATTTTACGTACAGAAAGACCGTGAAAAAATTGTCGGTGAGCCGGCTGGAACTAGTCATTCGAATACCTCTACTCCATCCAGGCGGCAATAGTACTACTAGTATAAGCTACCTGTACTACTATTACGGAGTACGAGAGCAGTCCGTCCATCGTGATCGACAATGGGCCAAGCAAGCGGTGCCGAGCCCGCCTGCCCACTCCCTCCGCCCCTCTCCAGTGATGCGGGCCCCGAGAGGAGGGCAGCAAAATGGCTGTCACTTGAGGCTCGGCGTGGGCATCCACATCCGCAATCCCAACCCGCATGACTTACGGAGCATGAGTAATAATACTGATGTATGTTGGCCGTCGTCGTCGTCGTTGCCGTGCAATCCTCTCTGTACCCGTACATCCCATCCACCAAGCACGGTACGAGTAGCACTCCTTTGAATGAGAGGTACAGCTCGTACGTGCTTGTCTGTCTGGCTTGTTCATGCTCCGTTAGTCGGATCGGATTGCCCGTCTTGGTAATAACGTAGCAAAGCACAGGAGGCTACGATGCCATTCTTCTGGCGCTCGACGCACATGGTCTTTTCCCCCTCCTTAACTTGATGCATCTGTTCTTCTTCCTCAGTGGTGAGAATACGTCCAGTCCATTACCTCTACGGCCGGTAGCACCTGGGAGCAGTAAAGGCCTGGACGGAAGAGAGATGAGGTCGTTCATATCGAAGCCTACAGATGGATAGGCATTATCCCCACGGATAGCTCCTTCCACTCCTCCTCTCTTCCCCTCCTTTCCCACCCCACCGCCGCCAAACCTCTTTCTTGCCCGATTGATACATGTGATATTAATAACTGCTATTACCTAAGGCTGGACTGCGGTAGCAATACATCAGTATTGCTAGTAGCAGTATTGAAGGTTTATGGAGCAGACGTATATAGTAATATTTGCGGTGTTAAAATAGCAGGATATATGAGATTTGGACTAAAGAAGGGAAGAAACAGGAATATGTCGTTCGCGAAAGAAAATAAAATAAGAAAATATGCGAGACAATCATTTCCTAATGATGCAGTCTCTGCCGCGATTTGCGTCGATAGACTAACGCAAGACCCTGTGACATGTGGAGAAAGGGACGGCTGATATTATCACTATATTACAGCGTATGGCTGTACGGAATTTAATAATAAGGACGGGAAGGAGGGACTGGACCCTGATGAGATGGCGAGATGGTTCACGGATGGCAACAAGATCACCGGTGGCGGCGGGTAGACAGACAAGGAGGAGGCAAAGGGAAAAAAAAAAAAAGGGAAAAAAAGCAAACAAGAGGTGGCGGCATGGGCGGGACCACAGACTACAAGTCTACTCGTAGCTCGTACATGTACAAGGGCATCATCGCCCTATCTGTGCTGCTCGTACTGAATCCATCCATCTCCTTTCCGTTCCGTCAGCGTTTCGGGTAATGCGAACCGGGGCAAGACCTCGTCAATAGGATTGAATGCGAATCGGAGCACCCGTGACGGTTTGTGACGAGAGACATGGCGCATCCCGATCCAGCTCTCTGGCGCCGCCACCACGCCACCACCACCACCCCTCCCTTCCTTTAACCCCCCCCCCCCCATGTTCAGCAGACACACACACACATACACACACATACCACACA